CATTTTTCACATCAATCTACAATAATTTCCAATTCCTTGCAATAATAACAACAATCAAATTGTAAACAAAAATAGGACAAGCATTGAGTGCAACAGTCTTTTCATAATCATCTCATATTTTTGAGTAAATCCCTTAGCAACTAAACAAGCCTTATAACACTCTATAGAACTATTAGATGGAGTTTTGATCTTGTACACCCATTTACAACCTATCAAGGGCTTTCTAGTAGAAGGATCCACCAAATCCCATATATGAGTTTTCTTAAGCATTTGTAATTCATCTTATATAGCTTGCTACCAAAGACTGTTAAAGGAGGTCTTTTGATAGGATTGAGACTTATGAAAAGAGGTAATAGTTGGAAAAAAATGATGATTACAAAGGTAATTAGGAGGATTTCTTACCCAAATAGGATAACTCGAGGATGGGATAATGAACTTACTGTTATATTTAACATCAAGGGGTGATATAGAGGAGGTGGTAGAAAATGGCTCAAAATTGTCTAATGCATTACCAACAAGCAAAACATCATCTATAGAATTAGTTGAAGCATGAAGGAAGGCATATTAGAGGTCATTAGATGTATCACATCGAAATCACTAGGAAACAACTCAATAGAAGGACTAGTAAAAGGTGGAGATTGATTAAAGTATGATTCTTTGAATTTGACGATGACTAAAACATTGTGCATTCTTAAAAGACAACATGATGTGAAATCCATACCTTTTGTGACATAAAATCATAATAACCATATCGTTTATATGCAATCCCATAACCTAGAAAGCAACACAATTAAGTTCTAGACTCTAACTTGTTATATTTATGAGGTGGAAGAAGAATAAAACAACCACAACCAAAAACCTTAAGAGAATCATAGGTAGGAAGAATGCCATACAATTAAACGTATGGCAACACAAGCTTGGACACCATTTAGGCATTGTTGTTATCTCTTATTTGGATATAATAAAATTAAGTATTTAATAATATATCTAGTTCATGCATAGTTTTGATTAATTGATGTCATAATTGGTTTGATTAATTTTTCTATGATTCTAAATAGTTTTATCAACAAATAGGTAATTTTTTAGTAACCAGAAATAATAAAAAGCCCAAAAGATAAGAC